GATGTTTGTTGGTGTTGATTTTTTTGGTCAATAAAAAACAGAAATAATGCTACCTAAAATCATAGGAAGAATGTTCATAAAATGTAGGAACAAGTTAGAAGGACTAATCTATTCTTTCATTTATTTGACAAACTTTTACTGAGAACCTACCACGTACCAGGCATTGGGGATATGAGGTAAAGAGACCCAGTAACCTGCCTATTGAGGAGTTACTGGTACATTCCAGGAAACCTGAATAAGCCTAAAGAAACCTTTCTCAAATTTCCACACCAGTTGCAGCCAATGCCAAGAAGCTCAGGATTCAAAGAATCTGATGGGGACAATTTTAAGCCAATTTAAATGATCCAAATTGGAAAACAAGATCCAGCAAACTATCGGTCTCCAGGATGCTCCCATGGCCTAAGGAGATCAAATAGCCTGTCGGAAGTGTCTGGTGCCAACCCCTTACATTTCTGTCCAGACTGTTTCTTCTCAATTGGAGGCCCTTTCTTTCTGGGCCCTTCCAGTTCACTCACTGTGCAGGCATAAAACAAACTCCCGGCCTCCTTCTCTTCATGAGCCAACTTAATGCCGACGCAAGTAGGACTTGAGAGTGGACATAATATTTTAACAAGCATGACGAATTGAGTCCTAAATCTCTAATCGGGCTTCTTTTCCCCCTTAACACTTTGTTCTCCTGGCTGTTATAAAGAGCTCTGAGATTACTATGCTTGAGCTTCTTGAAAAGCACCATATACATATAAAAGGAAAATACACACACGCACACGTGCACACATGCACGCACGCACACAAAGATTTCAATCATGCCTCCTTTCATTCTTGCTTCTTGAGTTCTGAGCAATGTATTCTTTTTCTGAAAGGGAACTGCGTGGAGCTGAACATTCAGAGCCCTGGCTCTTTTTCTGAGCCTCAGAGAGACATCACTTAGGTCAATTATTTATTATAGTTTATTGTAAACCTTTTTTCTTCCATTCTCAGAATTGGAAAAATGCTGTAAAAGTAGGTATTTTCCTATAATCTTTCAGGGAGAAATCAATGCACACCTGCATAAATTGTTCTAAATTGACCACTAATTTTCATACTCATGTTCATGTGTATGTTTGTGTGCCCAGACAATTTGATAGTACCATTATTTTTCCAATAAAAATGATAAGATCCCACTTCCCAGATTGTATCATTTTCCCCATGAATCTTTTAAAAATACTATCTCTCAATTTAATACCAAGTAGAACTAAATAATGGATTTATATTGTGTCATTATTAGAATGACCTGAAAAAAATTTTTTCTTGTCCCTTTCAGGTCATGTGGATGTCATGAACACCTGATAAGGTAATTAATACCTTATTTATCCAATTTCAAAGTTGCCCTTCCAACACTGTTATTTGGCTATCTTGAGGCAATATATAACTGTTAGGGAAGATTAGGACACCATGGAACCATGTGTTCTTAACATCTAAAAGCCCACATTAATATAGATCTAATTGCTTTCCTTTTGGTCATAAGTTGTGTTGGTTGGTTGACAATTAAACAATTTGCTCCCAGACAGTTTATTCTCTTAGGGGGAAAATGTCCATCTCATTTTAGCTGAAGCTCGGGTTTCTTTCTATTTTTTAAGTGAGAGCTGTATCACACCTAGGGAGAGTCAGAAAAATCCCACAAAGAATCACAACTTCTGATTTCTAATTTCTTAACATCACATACATTTACAACAGGGAAAATCCGTCTATTCCACTTAGTAGACATAAGAAAACTCAACGGTACGGGAGAATCGTGATGAAGTAAAGGTGAGTGCAGGCTTACAGACACTTGATAGTTTTAACATGGCAGCGACCATTATCTAACTTTAATTACAGGATCAAATTACTTGTTAAACATGTACTGTAGGCAGGGCGCGGTGGCTCACGCCTGTAATCCTAGCACTCTGGGAGGCCGAGGCGGGCGGATTGTTTGAGCTCAGGAGTTCAAGACCAGCCTGAGCAAGAGTGAGACCCCGTCTCTACTAAAAATAGAAAGAAATTAATTGGACAACTAAAAATATATAGAAAAAATTAGCCGGGCATGGTGGCGCATGCCTGTAGTCCCAGCTTCTCGGGAGGCTGAGGCAAGAGGATCGCTTGAGCCCAGGAGTTTGAGGTTGCTGTGAGCTAGGCTGACGTCACGGCACTCACTCTAGCCCGGGCAAAAGAGTGAGACTCTGTCTCCAAAAAAAAAAAAAACATGTACCGTAACTTATGTACTATCTGGGGTATGTTCCAGTCCCTGTTTGTAATTCTATTGGAGAACATTATTTCAAAACAGAAAAATCCCGCCGCCTTCTTCAGTTTATTGTACTATAAGCAGAATAAGTATAAAATTTTATGAATGGAAATCTGCACCACTTTAGGGCACTTCTTACTCCCTTCCTTCCCTCCCCTCCTCCCTCACACATAAAGACAGCTGGGTGGAGAACAAAATTGTACTTCATACTATATTGTCAACATCTGCACAACAGCCAAGAGACTGTCACTGTTCCAGCATGTGAAGTACTGCACAGCCACTCAAGAGACAAAAACTTTTTTATTCCCAAGCTGCTGTGATTACTTTTTCATATTGTGAAGCTGGACAGATAATAATACACCTACTGGTCAAAAGGATGAATTACAGGAGTGCCTGGAAGTACAATGGGAGGCAAGAGAACCCATTTGAGACAGAGAGAATGCAGGCAATTAGGGGAATGTACATTCTAATCTACTTTAAATTTTTAGGTTCTTGCAAGTGTACAAAAATGTCTTCTGTTTAAAATGAACATTGTGCGCAAAATCTGCTCCTCTGTGAGTTTATAAACTATCCATTTTTCTTTTTAATTCAACATTTATTAAACACCTACTTTGTGAAAAGCATTATTTAGGTAGAGGGTGGGTCAAGGGAATACCAAAATACTTTGGCTACCAGCTCATAATCATAACAAGCAGCTGTTGTGAAATGCCTGAAGTGGACAGTTGAGGAAAAAAGGTACTTTATAATAGCCCTGGGAGTCATTACGAGTGCTTAAAGCAGCAAAGGAAATTAGAGAAATGAAGTAGCTCTTAGAAATACAGCAAAACATGCAGTCACCACCTCTAGCCCAGCACTGTATCAATTCTTTCTTAAAATATTTTTTTTCTGACAAACTCCTTCACTTACGTTTTCATATAAGGTCTCCAATCTCATCACTATACGAGGCAGTAGAATGTTAACTAGCAAAATTTCCTCCTAATGACTCTGCCATCAGTTTAGTTTGTCTATTCTGGCCCTACGGTTTAGTATTTTCACTTTTTTTTTAAAAAAAAGGATGCATTTGGTCCAAAGTCTTTCAGCAGCAAGACGGCACATCCGGAAGCAAAGTTTACTGAATTACGATCTAAGTATGAAATCAATAAAATGGGAGAAGTTGCTTTTTGTCATCTATGCAAAAATGCATGTATCCCTCTACCTGCAGGAACTCTCCTTTCTGCCCCACATGCTTCTCTCAACAATAATCTGAAAAACCGAGGCAAAATTTATTATATAGTAAATTACACTGTAAACAATGGTTTGATTCTTTGTTTCTAGGTAGACTATAGCACCTGGGCAGGAAAACTGCATCATATTTAATAGGTGCAAAACAATCTTTTTCCCCCCTTTCCGACACTTGCTAAATTTAGTAGCAAGAGTGTCTGCCAACCAAGTAGCTTCTACTGCTTTGGGAGTAATAAGAAGTGGACAGAGGTAGAATAATATGAGCTGAGCTATGGGCAAAAGCCCATTTAGGCTATGTTTAAAGAAGTTTTCATAAATAGGAAAGCACCTCCCCAAAGTATTGCATATTAGAAAAAAAATTAAAAAGGACTTTAAAAAGTACTTAAAGGACTAGCTTTGCATAGGCCAAAGAAAATGTGAATATAATCAGGAAAAATCCGAGGTCTCTGGTAAGCCTCACTGTCAATACACCTTTCATCAGAGAGGGAAAAGAAACAAAACAAAACTGGGATGAATTATATTAAGCACTGACGTTCAGTCACTTATAAAGCTATATCAACAGTCTGTTTTCCAACCATTATCTCAGTAATCACCCAAACATTCATTGATTAAACTAGAGAGCCAGCATAGTAAAAAATTACCAATCATTTCAAAATTAAATCTTGCAAGAGTGTTGTTTTAATTGATGTTTTCCCGTGAACGCTATACACGCATACGTCGTGTGGATTTGAGCTCAATTTACAAACAGCAATTTAAGAACATCTATGAGAAAAGAACTCTTCTAAAACACATTACTTTAATTAGAGCAACAACAAATTCATCTGTTGTATCTATATATGACAACCAGTAGACAACACTCAGAAAAACACACAGTAGGTCTACTATAGTAATTATAAAACTACACAAATGAATCACTGAAATGCCAACTTTCATTACTAGTCTGTGTTTAATTTCGTTTTCTTCCCATAAAAGCTTATTGTGTGAGTGTTAAAAACTAAAGTTATCTTTTTCTAATAGTCCCCTAAAATCTACACTCATGCCCTTCAGACCCCAGTAGTAAACAAGAGTTGCCCAAATGTGTTGATCCAGGGTGGGAGGAGACAAGGTTCTGCAAGGAAGCTGTGGCACTGCTCACGACATCGCAGGAAAATGGGGAAATGGGCTGTTAATAGCATTTGCCGATGATATGCCATGCAAGAATTTCCTTTAAATAACAAAAAGAAAAAGAAAAAACGAAAGAAGAAAGTAGGAAAAAAGGAAGGAGGAAAGGAGGGAAGGGAGAAGAAGGAGGAGAAGGAAAAAGGAGGAAGGAGGAGGAGGAGGGACAAGGAGGAGGAAGGAGGAGGAAGAAGGAGGAGAGAAGAGAAGGAGAAAAATTAAAACTACTAAAATCACAACAAAGTCGCAGGATTACTTTTCCTTCTATTTGCCATTTGGTAAAATAAAGTTTAAAAGGCATTATTTCGTCCACGTCCTAAAAAGGAAGCCACTATTACAAATCCCAACTCATCTCCAGCCTTACCTTATGCTGCTAGCGCAAACCCAGAGGCTAAGGGGCCCTGCTCTCAGCGGCAGCGGTAGGGGCAGCAGCAGCGACAGTGGCACATGCCATCTGTTAGCGGCAGAAGCAAAAGCAGCGCTGCGCGAGGTGGCCCCGGTGCCCGGGGGGGAGAGCCTTTAGCAGGGGTGTATACTGAATGCCGCCATTTTAAAGCGAGGTTCCTGAAATCATTATATATAAGCAAATTAAAGCCCGCCCCACCTACATAACTTCAGGGCTGGGACGTGCAACCCGGCTCCAAGTCGGCCGCTATGGGGTATAAAATGTCAAGTCTAGAGACACGCACATGCGGACTCTCAGACGGAGGCGATGATCCCTCTCTCCCTCTGCCCCCTTCGCACCCCGTGCTTTTGCAAGCCTCTTTCAGGCCGGGAGGAAAGAATATTTTCTTTTCTCCACTCCACGGGGGCCCTTTCCCGGGGCAGGCCGGCGCGCTGGGGGAGGCGATGGGGGACCCGGGCCGGCCCTCCCCTCTTCTCCCCTCCTCTTGGTTCAGTCCACTTGGAGCACACCTCGGAACGCCCCGGCTCCCTCGCGGCGGGCGGGCGGGCGTGGGGTTCCCGCCCGGCTAGCAGCTGCCATGGCAACCCCGGCCCAAACCCCACCTGGCCTGAGCCACAGGCGTGCCCTGCACCCGGGCCGGTGCCCTCGACCAGATGGCCCCTCGCAGAGCCCACCGACCCCGGGCAGCCTGGGCCGGGGGGCCACGGCTCTCGGTGCCCGGAGCCTGACCCATGGGGCGCGCGGCGGGAACGGCAGTAGTGAGGGGGCTTTGGGCGCCAAAACGGCAACTCCCGTGAAACTCTGCCAGGCACCGGAGCCGCGCGCGGGCGGCCGGAGCGCTCGGATGGGAAGCGGCGCGCGCGGCTGCCCGGCCCCGCCCCGCCCGGCCAGGTAGCGCGACGCGTCCCGCATCGCCGCTGCCGCCGCAAACCTCACCTGGTTCCGCGCGCCGCTGCCAGCCCCTGCTCGCCGCTGCGGAACGGGCGGGAATCCGGCCGCGTGCTGCCCCTGCTCCCGCGCCCACCCCGGGACTCTCTGTCCTCCGCCTCCCTCTCGCTGCTCCCAAAGAGCGCCAAAAAGTCGCGCTCCTGATCACGCTCCGAGTGCGGGCACTTTCTTCCTGTAGGGCGCTGTTTCGTCGCGAAATATACTCTTTGTGTGGTTCGCTCATTCGTGCATGGTTCTCCGAGAGCGCAGCGCGGGCTTTATTCTCAGGGGGTGTGGCGCCTCTCCCCTAGACCCGGCGGCCCAGCCCCCGCTGCAAATGCCCTTTGCCATTTCATTATTAAGGGAAAGGGGGACAAATCATAACGCTCGATTTTACAAAAGTGAAAACGAGCGGAGCATGCACACATCCCCAGAGGCGGGGATGAGGGGGAGCAGTGGGGGCAAGCAAAGTTTCTAGAGTTTTGGGAACTGGAGTGCCAGTGAGACAGGCAGTGTGGTTCCAATCTGTATGCTTATAGATAACTTCAGAGACAAGTGAGGCGAAATAGGTAATTTCAAAAATGACCTTAGTCAATAAATATATCAACTCATTACAGGCCAAATAAATAAATACTCACCAGCTGCCTTCCTGTCTCCTCTCCCTTCTATAAATGCCCCGATCCTTTATTTCCCTCTAAGAACTTCAGAGAGGGAAATGTTGATCAGTGCAAATAGTTCCCCTACTTCCACGGAGTTTGCAGGATAGGAGGAGCCCAGAGGTAAGGTTCCAGATACTTTTGAATAGAAACTGGACAAAGCAAATGCAATTTTATATTTTGATTAAAAAGTGTGCATCTGGACAGCTAAATTACAAGTTTCGATTTAATGCAAGTGTAATAGGAGCACCAGCTGTCCCTTAATTGGAGCCCCACAATAATAAACTCGTGCTTTTATTTAATTTTATGAGGACAATTGTAGTTGATAACACACACATATGCCGGATCGTCAGTGACAAGCTCATAGCAATTCAGGGCTGCTTTCCTGCAATCAACTGCTTCACCCGAGGACACAGTTCTATATGCTCTGCAGAAAGTGCAAAACCATTGCAGGAAATATTTAAGCAGCAGTTAGGTTTCAGAGTGGAGTGAATTCTCAGGCTAATTATACTTTTTAATTCTGATGGACCAATCCAAATAGAATTCTCGAGCTAATTTTAGGCAAGAAATCAATCTCTGTTTGTTAAATGCAAGATAATAGGAGCAGGATCAGAATAGTTGGAAGAAGAGTAGGGTACAAACTGCCCTTCAAATAAACCAGAAAATCCCTGATGGGGTTGGCAAGTATTGTGAAAATCATCAGGGCAATGTGCAGGGATAGTGTCTGATGCTTTGTTATAATGGGTAGAAACTTAGCATGAGTCAAACAGAGAGCAGGAGTTTCTGGTTACCTGGAAAAAGGGAAAACGGACGATAATTCCTATCTACCTCTCCCCACCTTCCTTCAAATTTACCACATTACCTGCACTACTGTAAAAGTCAAATTCGTCTGACAGATAGGGAGTGGCTTTGGCAGTCCAGGAACTACCACAGCTAAAATTAGGAGGTGTTGGCTACCACAGTAGGCTGGAGAGAAGGGCAAGGCTGAATTATATAACTTTATATCCAAGGATCTAACAAATGAGGAACTGTTATGACAGTGAGCCAACAAAGGAGTCTTTATACTAAACATAACTTGGGTCAACACCAGTTCTCTTACCTCTGTCCACCATTGCAATTCACACATCCTGTGGGACACTTCGGGGTTTCCCTAATACCTCACAAACTGGCTCAATTTTCTGGTTGTTGAATTGCTGAAATAATTGTTTTATCATAAATTTCAGGCATACATCAGTCAATTTGCTAGTTCTGGGGCTAGTATAGCTTCAGTGATATTGTCTCTTGCTTGAAATTCCTGAGCAGTGAAAATTGCAAATGATACTTCATTATTCTCTCTTTCCCACACTGGAGGGGAGAGCAACCTTATAAACAAATTTCAGCCTGGTAAACTGTCTTCCTTTTATCTAGGATGGTATGACCTCCCCAAATGAAGCTAGGCAAATTTCCATGCCACCAAGCCACTGGGGAGTGTTTTCAAAGGTGCTAGGAAATTGCTGTTCCCTCCCCTCAGCATTTTAAAAAGGCCCATTTGCTCTCTAGGATAGACTCACCTTGGAATTACTTTCCACTTTAGTAGAGCGGTTAGAGGTAGCCAATATTTTCTCTTCTGTTCTTCCTCTTAGGCATAATTGTGGGCATGACCCAGGAAAGATAGAGTTGTGTACTGACATATACTAGATGAGTTCTTACAATAATGTATGTACATTATAGTCTCGGAATACTTACACCTGTTCCCATAATGCATTTTGGAATCATCTCAGAATCAACATCTTTTAAAATTTTTTTTTTATTTTAGCATATTATGGGGGTACAAATGTTTAGGTTATGTATATTGCCTTTGCCCCACGCAAGTCAGAGCTTCAAGTGTGACAGAACCAATATCTTGATGGATCTTCAAAGGTCAGTGTCTTGTGACACTTGGCTTTCAGATTTCAGTCCTGTACCTCTCCCTGAGCCAGTCAAAAGAAGTATGTGAGCAAACATCTCAGCATAAGTAGGGAACATGCTTCCTGTGCTCTCACTACGTTTTAATGCTTGAAATGGACACTTGCACATAAAAATGTCAGGCTAAGACTCTGGGTAAGGATGTAGTAGCCTCTCAAGTAGCATGTTCTTCCAATAAGTATAATTAACTTGGACTGATGCAGAGAAGAATTCTAAAAGTTATGTAATGATTTAGTAACAAAAGGATTATTGTAGTCCACTACCAAACAAATGTTTCTGTGTTTTTAAAGATGCCGGATAGGTGAAACATTAAACTCACTCATATATCAGTGCACCATGGTTTTGAGGAGTTTTTGAACACTCAGTATATTCTATCAGAATTATCCTTTTACTCTTCTGCTAAACCACATAACTCATTTATCATCCTTTTAAACAGATAATCAGCCTGTATTGTTGGACATGTGGGCAGGGCTGTGCTATGGATGACAGGTGAAGAATCTCCCTACTGTTTTGAACCTGCAGGTTTATTCTCACCAGCCTAGTACTATCAACGATAGTACTGTGTTGCTGCTGTGTTCAAGTGCTGGCTCCACAGGCTGCAGCCCCATTTGTGGTCATTCCATTCAGAAGCCTCTGGACATTTAATGGTGGTTTAAGAGCTACAGATACCGATTATTCATTCTTTCCTGAAAAATAATCATTTTTCATTCAGTTGGGAATTTGGAGTTTGCAGTTCATGTGAGGGTTCTGATTAAGTAAACAGAAAATAAAAGCTGAATCTGGTTATTTAAAAGGTTTAGACAATCAAATAAATGTTGGATTCCAAGGCAAACTCTTTGTAAAATGATGCAGACTCTATTTCTTACAGAAGAAAAGATAAGGCAATCCGGTTACTAGTTTAATGCCGAAATAATTGCAAGCATAGATAGTAAATTGATCGACAATTCTCAGGTTGCAAAGACAATTTCTGAAACAGTGTTTTTTATTTTCATGTGGACAAAACTGTCAGAATTATCTGGACAGAATCTAATAAATATAGAAGAAAACAGAACAAACATTCAAGAACTGCATTCCCAAAACACACCTGGGCCTGATGGATTTACAAAGCGATTTTTCTCCCAAACCTTTGAAGAATATATTATACAAATTATCCTTGATTATTGAAAAGTACAGCATATTTCTTAAAATTATCCTCAGAGGGAAATGTGCTAAGAATGATACAGATACAAATGATACAAAAAGGTAAGAATAATGCAAAAGGTAAGCGTGAAATAAAAAAGAAAAATAAGACCTAGTCTCACTTAGGAATATAATAATTATAATAGCAACCATTTAATGTGGAACTACTTCATGCCAGGCACTGTACTAAGCATTTTTCACAGTAGCTCATTTAATCCTCACAGTAATCCATATATGGTAAATATTATTATGTTTCCATAAAAATAGGAAAAGTGAGGCTTGTCCAAAGTAACAAAACTATTAGATAGCAGAACAAGGGCACTAAATCAGTTTTCTCCCATGGCAGGGCCTATGCTTTTAACTACTACACAGTACTGAGGTCCAGTTGGATTTGAACTCAGACTCTTGCTTCATCTAGTATGCTACGCTGCCTCTCATTG